TCATTCCATTTAAATTGATGCAAATTATAGTGAACTGACCAGTTCACACATCTTTCGAATAGAGTTCAGCTGAATCGATTAGCACACTATTTGATAATAGAAGTAAAACAACAAGATAAACAATAAATTTAACCACATGCGTGGTGTCATGAGATGTTTTCATTTTCTTAATGTTTAGTTTCGTTTACACATGTGTTTAATTCTCATCCTTTCTTCAACTCGGCTAATAGGTTACTATCAACAAACGTGATGAAAGACCACAATTCAGAACCTTGATTGAATCTCAAAAAGGTAAGTAATCAATAGTGCATGTGGTTAGCAACATAATTGTAGCATGCTATCATGGACACGCGTCACCATGAGATTTAGGCTAATTGCAAAGTATCACTAATATGTTGACAGCTAGTATCTCTCTTCTGGAAGTTGAAGCTCAAATAATCAACAACTATTCTATTAGAAACAATTATTGTAACAGCGATTGTTTAGGCTAGTTTAGGCTAATAGCATGAGGATGAGGACAGAATCTCTATCTAAATCACGAAAACGTGATCATTTGGTGAAACATTTCAAAAAAATGGTCAAACTAAACTATTTGATATTTGCAGTTCTTATTTGTTTGGCAATTGTTGTTTCTCAAGTTAGATGTGGTGGTCAAGATTGTGATCCTTCCAGGGTTGGTTCTGGAATCCATTCTCTTTATGTTGAAGATGAAGAAATGCTGAACTCACTCATGAATAAGAAACATATTGTAAAGTTAACCAAAGCAGGAAGAAAGAATGTTTACAGAAAGCTTACTCAAGGAAGAAGAAACAGCAAGATGTTGAGAAGATTGGTTAAAAGACAAGTAGCTCGTAAGATTTCCCATCGCATGACAGAGAAGAGAGGAAGAATTGGTCAATCTGTCCATAATAAGGTTTCCAATAACAACAAACATGCTAAAAGAACAGTTTCCAACAAAAACAGAATTCACAAAAGAACAGTTTCGAGCAAAAAATTCCATTCTGAAGGTGTTTCCTCACCAAGCAACACCAACAAGATAGTCTCAGACGTTAAACCTCGTGAAACAAAAGATATTAGAAAGCCGATTGAAAACGCCAACCCTGCTCCAATCGACACCAAGACTCCAAAAAATGTTGACAAAATGACAGCTCAAGAAATCATCAACCAATCAATTGCAACATTTGATGGGTCTGTTGGACCTAGCAATACTAAACTTTCAAACAGGCTTGTTATAGGCAAGAAAGTTATTCTCAGGGAACAAGATGAAGATTACAAAAGCAGAAATGAACAACAAGAAGTGTTGGAACGAATTGACCCTAGTTGTGTTGCTTGCCGAGTTGACTGTATGAAAACCTATTCTCAAGTTAGTGGAAGTGTTTTTGAATCTTGCAAATTCCAATACTATTACTATGGATGTAAAAAACAAAAAAAGTGTTTTATGGCTACAACGACATCAGATGAGATAATTAAGGGCATGCTTGGAATTTGTTTGTTGAGAAATGGATGTAAATTGAAGGCTGAATGGAATTCCTATGGAGTAGATGCCGCTGTTACTGGAAGATTGCTTGGAAAACTTCGTGCATCCAATGAAAACCCAGAATAAACTTTATTTAATTTAATAGTCAAATCTAACAATATCATCTTTATTAAATAATGAAAGATATTTCGAAAAGTTGGAGAAACTTAGAAAACAGAACAAAAGGATGATTCGAACAAAACCAACACAAAAGTAGATAGATTGAAACCAACTATTAAGGTAGTAATTAATTCTTACTTGGGAAAATCAATGCAGAATAATTAAGGATGCAACTGATATTATAAGAGATTAATATTCCTTAA